CCTGGCAACGACACTTGGACGAAGCTTTCCGGCAAGCCGAGGACGAAGAGACGATACAGCCACCGATGCCAGGGAGTATTGCGTCTCGTCGTGACGTCGGACCGGGAGACGCAGGGCTTCAGCGTCCCAAATGGCAGATTCTCACGAGGCTGACCATCTCTGAGTGTTGGGGACGAGATGAGCCGCCAGTCGCAGATCGCCTTGGTCTCAGCCATCCCAGACATTTGACTGTCGAAAGCAGCAGGATGGAGGGCTGCACATAATAAACATTGCGAGCTCTTGGTAATACTCGAAGCTCCTCTATACTTGTACTTATACTTGGTTGGATATTGGACAGACTCTGGCAAGAGTAGCTGAAAAAGGAGGAGGGTTTTGGGAGACGCGGTCCGCGCAATGGCGGCAGCGGTGTTTGTGTGTCTTGTTGTAATATCTGGTTCCATGATACCCTGTTCCTACGCAATGGGTGGTGGATTGTACATTTCTCCCCGGAAAATTGGAAACTTGCCAAATTTCTTCAATGCCTCTGTCCTACATGGCCCTGATTGTGTCAATGTTCCTATGCTACCCAACTTTCATCCATCAGAAATCAATTGTTCACAGTACATCACTTCACAGTCAACTCTTCATGTCAACATCAATTTGTTGGTCTTGTTGCAGGAGAAACTAAAGGGGGTATTCCATTTGGCGTGATTATCCGTAACTCCTATTAAACCAGAACCCAATATCCCTTTCTCAAAAACCCTTGTTCTCGCCCATACACACAAAAGGGCCTGCCAAAACGCCCCAAAGAAAAGAGAAAAAAGCAAAAAAGAAAGCAGATCTAGGTGAATCTGTTACCACGTCCCACGTCCATTTTTCCGTTCGTTCGTTCTTGCCCAACCAACAGCTTCGTTTTGTTCCCAAGCAATCTTTTAAAAGAAAAATCGCTTTTCTGGCTCGACCTTCACCCCACAACTTGCACGAAAATTACTTCCCATTGCCTCTCAACCGGATATCAAAAACGCTGTCATCATCAATCATCGTCTCATAAGTGGAGGAGAAGGTATGAAAGCGAAATGTCGTGTCAGTCGCGCGGGGGTGTTAATGTAGTCAGTCGTCAGTCGTCAATCGTCATCGCTCAGGAGAGCATCCTCGGGGACCTCAGGCTGCTCCTCAGGATCGAGCAAGTCCTGGCTTCCTGCGACAGAAGAAGCCCAAGTGCGGACGCCAGCCGCCTTGCCTCTATCCTCCTCGGCCTCACATCTCGCCTTGATCAGGTGGAGGGGAACCATACGGCCAGTGACGTTGAAGAAATTGGCCTGCATCTCCAGCCACTTCGTAGCCTCTCGTCTCGAAGCCACGGCCGCGAGGATGGCATCGTCCCGGCGCTGCCTTTTGTCTGCTGGGCTTGGCGCGCGGGCGGCAGGCGGAACAGGGTAGAGTTGAGGGTGGACATGTCGACGAATATATCGCTTCTGGCGAGCAACCTCCCGCTCGTAGTAGCCGGGCGCATCTGCGTCATCGCCGCTGGTAGCGGGCGACTCGGACTCAGACGACGTGTCTCGGAGTAGATTCATGCGCTCGCGATAGGACGAGCTCTCTGCGTCGTCATCTTCAGACTCGGATTTCTCTGCAACCGGCTTCTTTACGACGGGCTTCTTCTTCTTCTTCTTCTGTTTGGGCTCCTTGATTTTCTCCTTGTCGCAAGCAACCTTCTGCTCCTTGCCCTTCTTCTTGCAGCCTGTCGCATCATCTTTGGCGTTCCTCGGCTTGGTGCATTCGACTTTCTGCTGCTCCTTTCCCTTACTCTGCTTCTCCTCCGCCGTAGGCTCAGGCTCCTTCTCCTCGGTTGACTCTGCGCTCTTGTCGGTCTGAGTATCGCCTCCAGACTCGGTCGAATTGGCCCGGTTGGCCTTCACCACGTGCCAGCGCTTCTTGACCTCGTTCTTCCCGCGGTTCATGGCATTTCCAATGGCTGCCCAGGTCTCGCCGCCCTCCTTCATGCTGATGATCAAGGCATCCTCCGAGTCTGTCCAGTTGCCTGGGGTTGATGGCTTTGCGCTGGTCGAGGCATCTGATGCTCCATCCGTAGAAGGCACTTCGCTGGAGGAAGCCTCGCCAGAAGTTGTGGAATCAGCTGCAGCTGCCTCTTCGGTGCCTGCCTCAGATGATGCCGCTTCAGATGTCGATTCGTTTCCACTGGTACTCTCTGCAGCTGATGTCTCTGCGGATTCGCTCTCAGCCTCGACAGCTTTTCCCTTCTGCTTGCTGGAATTGACATCGCCTGACTTCTTGGCGCAGGCCTCGTTGTCTGCGTCTGTGGATTGCTCATCACCGGTGCTGCTGACCTGAGAGCTCGTAGCGTCAGTGGACTCAGCAGAGGTGTCGCCAGCAGCGTCGCTGTCTAAGATGGCGAGGTCAGGAAAAAGATCGACCAGGGTAATGGTGCTGCTAGCATCGGAGTCCGATTCGATTGTCACCGCCGGGATTGAAGAAGCGTCGTCATTGTCCTTGACAACAGTAAGGTTATGGCTGTGAGAGCCACCAGCCTTTGTGCCTGTCATTGTAGCAGTGACATGTGATTGCAGTAGCAAGGGCGATGGTGAATGTTGCTGGGAAAGTAAGGGCGAGGAGAAGGTGAAAGGTTTGGCGAAGAGGTGATAAAAGCAGTGGTGAAATGTTGTGGATTGATGTCTTTGTTGAGGATAGGAGGAGGCCTGGGATATTGTTGGTGAGTTGAGGCCGGAAAGCGCGGGGTGGTGATGGACTTGCGGTTGGTTATTTTTGTTACCCGGTTTTTGGGACTGGGGTTGTTCGGCGAAAGGGAATGAATCCTAATTCATACCAAACAATTGATACGATCTGTTGTTTGTTGTTGTGAAGATGGAAGTGGTAGTTGTCGAGGTGGAAGTGAACGTTGTGGAGAGATGGTGGTGGTGGGGTTGATTAGTAGATGGACGAAGGTGCTGAGGAAGGAGCGGCCGAGAGTTTAGCAAAATCGGATTCTCACTGCGACGGATCCTAAACGAGCTCCTTCCCAACCGGACTCAGCTCCAGAAATATCTACCCGCACGAGTGGTCCAGAGCAAGTGTCGGAAAAACAAATCGTCTGTGGCAGTGAATTCTGAGGGAGAAACCCGTCAAACCACTCGAAGCCGGCTGCGACTACGAAGACCAGGAAGTGGCCCCTCAATTCTATTAATACGGCCTCTAAGACCTCCAAAGTGTCAAACCCGTCGAGGCGATCGAGATCCAGAAAAAAAGAGGGTGAGAGGGGGCCAAACATCAATAGCTGGCGTCAGACACAACAACATGGGACGAAGGGACCAAACACACACACGGTACAATAAAGTCTGCCAGAGTCTAGAGCAGGCGAGACCGGCGACTGGAGCGTGCCGATGGCGTCAACCAAATGGCTGTGTCCAACATTGGCAGTCTCCAGAATAGGCGTTATTTGTGCGACGTGCGGAGTGTGATGTTGAGTGGGAATTCTCTGGCTTTTGCAACCCGACTCTCATATCAATCTGATGTTAACGACAAGGTCCGGGGCGCGGTTTGAGGCTCTCACTGAAGAATGGTGGTGCTACGGGCGATGCTCCGGGGGCAGCCCAATCAGGGAACCAGCTTACTCATCCCGCGTGGAACGGAGTGGGCTCCAGTTGGTTGGGGCGCTGCGCTATTAGTGGTTGCAGATAGTCAATCACCCGCCGGGCTTTGAAGCCTTTTTTTGCCCTTGTCAGGGAGCATGACTTCTCACACTGAAGTTTGAAACGAACCATCATCGCTCTCTCTCTCAGCACCTACCCAATAACCACACCCGATTAGCAGTGAACCACACCATCTTGCCCACTCACCCAAGATGGCACTGCCCGACCTGCCACCAAACTACCTCAAGGCTCTCGAGCTGATTGACGAGGCCCACAAGCAAGACCCCAGACCCTCGACCGCCGCCGCCGATATCACATTTGAGCTTCACTATGCCCACAAAATGACGCGCTGGCTGGCGGTGCGATGTCCCACGGCGCCCCCCGTGCTGCAGCTGGCCTGCCGAGCCCAGCACTTCAGGAGGTTAGACACTCTTCATTTCTTCATTACGCATTGATTTAAGCATGAATATCCATGACGAGATGTGCAAAGTACATGAGACAAGGGACAATCTAAAAAGAGGAACCACTGCAACTCACACACACAACCCTTCTAGATGGGAGATCCCCCGCAACACATACCCAATGACGCGCCCGGGCTACCTCACCTGGCGCGCCAAGCTCAAGTCCCAGGCCGCGACGCAGGTGGCCGAGCTATTGTCGTCGTCCGCGGAGATCCAGCCGCCGCTGCCCGCCGAGGACGTCAACCGCGTGGCGGCGCTGATCCGCAAGGAGAACCTGAGCAAGGACGAGGAGACGCAGGTCCTCGAGGACGTCGCCTGTCTGGTGTTCCTCGACGACCAATTTGACGACTTCGAGAGCAAGGAGGAGATTGACGAGGCCAAGATCATTGGCATCTTGCAAAAGACGTGGGCCAAGATGAGCGAGCCCGGCCGCCAGATCGCGCTCAAGATGAACCACAGCGAGAGGGCGCTGAGTCTGATCGGGAAGGCCTTGGCAGGGTGATCTGGGAAGAGAATCAAAATAAAAGATAAAGTGCTGTTGGCGGCCCTGCAGCCGAAAAAAAGAACGTCCAGTGCCGTCTCGGTGATTTACATTCATGACAGGCCGTCCGTGCATCCTTTTAGCGAGTGAGTTCCCCCTGGGGAACCCGCCCATCAGAACCCGCGGGATACCTTACCCCTACCTTGCCAGCTTACCTACCCAATGCCGGATTCCCGGGGGGGATCCTCCCCCACACCGACCCCGTTCGGCGTAATGCCGCCCGAGACCTCGACTACCCCTCGGCGCCGTTGGATCTCAGACGAACAACCCGCCTGAGCGGTCCCGGCCCGAGGTCGAGCATACATATATGTAATCATCATCGCCCGACACAAATATGTTTTTACCTTCACGTTAACAACTACACGTCTCACCATGCCGCCGACGCTGACACCAGCCGAGATATCCAAGCACAACACCCTCAACGACATCTGGCTCGTCATCGACGGCAACGTGTGGGACTTTTCCGACTTCGTCCGCGAACACCCCGGCGGTATCGCCGTGATCCTGCAGTGCGCCGGCAAAGACGCGACGGACGTCTACTCCGAAGTCCACGGGCCCAACCTCGTAAAGTCGAACCTGCCCGCCGCCCACCTCATAGGCGTCCTCGCCCCGGGCGTAGCCCTGCCCAAACCGAAGCAGACCCAACACGCCCAGCCGAGCAACATGACCTCCCCCAACGATGAGAGGCAAGACGGGCAAAAAGCACCAACACCGCCACCCTCAAAACCACCCTTGGATACCCTCATCAGCGCCCACGACTTCGAAGAGGCCGCCTCGACGTCCTTCACCCCGAAAGCCTGGGCCTTCGTCTCCTCCGCCGCGACAGACCTACACACCAAACGCCTCAACGCCTCCGCCTACTCCCTCATCGGCCTCCGGCCCCGCGTGCTCGTCGACGTGTCCGCGGTCGACACCTCCACCACGATGCTCGCCAACCCAATGCGCTCCCCCATCTTCTGCCCGCCCACCGCCATGGCCCGCCTCTTCCACCCGGACGGCGAGAAGGAGCTCGGCCGCGGCTGCAAGGCCGCCGGCATCCCCCAGGGCGTCTCCGTCAGTGCCTCCTTCCCCCTCGCCGAGATCCTCGCCGCGCACGCCGCCTTCTCCCCGCCGAAGCCCTACGACGTCCCCGTCTTCTTCCAGCTCTACGTCGACAAGAACCGCGCCAACTCGGAGCGCCTCATCCGCTCCGCCCAGGCCCAGGGCGCCAAGGCCCTCTTCCTGACTATCGACGCCCCCATCCCCGGCAAGCGCGAGGCCGACGAGCGCGTGCGCTCCGACGCCTCCATCGGCTCGTCCCCCATCTCGGGCGCCAAGGCCGGCAACGACGCCAAGGGCGGCGCCATCGGGCGCATCATGGGCGACTACATCGACGCGTCCGTCAACTGGTCCGACATCGTCTGGTTACGGCGCACCGTGCCCGGCATGCCCATCGTGCTCAAGGGGATTCAGACGTGGATGGACGCCGAGCGCGCGGCCGCCGCGGGCGTGGAGGCGATCGTGCTCTCGAACCACGGCGGCCGCAGCCTCGACACGTCGCCCGCGACCGTCATGGTCCTGCTCGAGCTGCAGAAGAACTGCCCGCACGTGTTCGACAAGCTCGAGGTCTACGTCGACGGGGGCATCTCGCGCGGCACCGACATCTTCAAGGCGTTGTGTCTCGGGGCCAAGGCCGTCGGCGTCGGGAGGGGGTTGCTTTATGCGCTCAACTACGGCGCTGAGGGCGTTGAGCGATACGCCGAGAGTGAGTTGTCTTTCCCTCGACATTGTGGCGCCAAGATCTTGACTAACGCGACGGATAGTACTCCGAGACGAGTTGGAGACGACGATGAAAATGTGCGGCGTCACGAGCCTGGACCAAGTCCATCCGGGCTTCCTCAACACGCTGGCCGTGGACCACCTCGTTCCGGGTCGGGAGGACAATCCAAATACCCCTTGGCACAGGGACAGACAGAGCCGTTTGTAAATGAAGTACTTCACCTCCAGCATAATCAGCATATTGTGTGTTGATCAATCCAGCATAGCATTAGAGAGGGTAAAAGTCCCATCCAAGCTATGCTAGGAGACTTTGGGTATACAATTACACATAATAATGATAGTGGTTACCATTTCATATCCCGTCCGTCAAATCTCATTCTGTCCCAGCAACTCCAAGCATTAGAATCCATCACATCCGCATCCAAAATACCGACTTTTCCCCATTTCGCCTCACTGACAACAAGGCTCAAGCCAACTCGCGCAACTCGCTATCCCCCCTCGTAGCAGGCAACTCAGAAGCGAAGCTGTTGTGGTGGTAGTGGGGCTGGGATGTAGTCGACGTCGTCTGCTGCTGCTGCTGCTGCTGCGTTTGGGCCGGCGGCGGCGCATTGTAAAACTGTTGCGGCGGCTGCTGCTGTTGTTGTTGCTGTGGCGCGGGATATCCGCCCTGCGTCGGACTAGGTCCACTGCCCTGCTGCGCATACGCCGGTATACCGGACTGGTACGTCGGCGACGGGCTCATGGGAGGTGGGCTGGCGGGAGGGCTGACGCCATTGTTGTGATCGTAGCTCGCTGCGCTGACGTCGTACGGCTGCTTCAGCATGCTCTGCCTGTTATCAACGGGCGTGAAGCCGGACGGGAAGTTGCCGGGCGTGGTGGGCGCAGGCGCGTAGCCGCCGGGAGAAGGCTGCTGTTGCTGAGTCGGGGCCGCCTGGTACATCTGCGGCTGTTGGCCTGGCGGGGGCTGCTGCGGGTTATACGTGCCCGGAGTGACCTGAGTGTTGTTCTGGTTGTTCTTCTTCTTGCTGCGGAGAATGAAGAAGATGCCGACGGCGATGAGGGCGATTACTGCCAAACCTCCGACGACGCCGCCGACAATGGCTCCGATTGGGGTGGAGGATCCGCCGCCGCTTGATGCGGGGGAGGTTGTGGCCGCGCTCGGAGAGGCGGAGCTGGTGATAGGGGACAAACCACCGGTGGTGCGATCAGAGGTCGGGGCTGTGGTCGCCTCAGTGGTGGCGTCGCCAGTGGTATCCGTTGGGTTTGCGTAGACAATGATCCGAGCCTCGGTGACGGCGCAGTTGAAGAGAGTGTACTTGGAAAAGACGGAATCAGAGTAGACGTATGTATTGCACTCTGGCCGTCCTGAAGAAGAGCTGTTGCAAGAGGTTGTCAGACAAGTGCTCTTGGCGCCTTATAGCCATTGGCAACTGCTTACCAGTACAGCATAAGAGTGTCTGCGCTGCTGTAAATTCTGGATGAACTTGATGGGAGACAGGCCGTCGGCAGCTTGCAGTCCGACATGCTGGTCGAACCGCAGCATCCCACAACAGAGTAGAAGCTGTTGATCACGCATGTTCCGACATCGCAGTAAATGGAATCAGCTTGAGAGAGGTTAGTGATGCATTCTTTAAACACGACAAAGTTCAATCTGACTTACTGGATATTCCGGAGATGTAACCACAAGTGTCGTCACCTCTTACACGCTTGGCCAGCTTGAGCTCAACGTTGCCCGGGTCAGGCGCCGCCGTCGGCGCGGGACTGAAACCAAGCTCCAACATGTCCATGGCGGCAATGGTCTGCTTAGGAGGAGACCAACTCGGGGTATCATCTTGCCACCTCAATGCCTTGGACTCCGCCCCGAAGTACAAGCAAGCAAGAGCTCCTAGTCGAATGAATCTGCCCATGTTGTCGGTTCTGAACTTGGGATCGCGTGCCAACGAGAAGATGACAGAAGGAGAGAACCAAAGGAGGTGCGAGCGGAAGAACAGATAAAAAAGACCTTCAAGAAGAGTATGCGGGAAAAAGGGAGCCAGACACACCCACCCACACCCGCATACAACCAGCCTCCAGGCAGCCCAACTCGGGGCTGGATGGGAAAAGTTGCCGAAGCTTGCGCCCTGCGGGGGACACGAATGTCCATGGCGTTCCTGTCACCAATGGGCCTCACAGAAGAGACACACCAAGGGTCCAACAGCTGTAGCTTTAGTTGCTTGTTCGTGCCAGGTCGGTGTATATTGATTGGACCATGTGGAAACTCCGCCTCGCGAGCTGCGGGTACGAACAGACGGCTGCGATAGCGCGGAAGTTCACAACCTTGCAAGGCAGACCGGCACGCAATCATTCCAGGGTGCTTTATTTCCGAGACCTTTTCCACTCGTGATGTTGGCTCAGTTGAAGCAAGGGAGCTGCACCGCTCCAAGCTCGTCTCCAGCTCGGTATCAGTCCATCAGATGAAGCTGCAGCAGCATCAAAGACACCTTCGTTCAGCAAACCACTCCAGATGTTCACTTGAACCTCCTGTATCCACAGCCATGCGATCAACAAGACGAACAACACCCTTCGGGCGATGACAACTCAGATATCGTGTTGTTCGTTTTACCATATTAGCGGTGTGGTGGAGTCTAGCGGTGCCCAAAAATGACACTATCATGGGCCTAGGCCTAAAACGGATTTTGTGGCTTGCAGCTGAAGGCAGGCTCTCTCCAGCTCCTTGTCGACTCGCCAAAGCTGTCCAATTGAAGGCGGAACGGCTGAATAGGCGAATCAAGCTGATCTGATGATCCCCCGCAAGAAACTTGCTTGCCAGGGTCTAGAAAGCCTTATAAACCGTCCTCGTCGTCTCGTCTTACTGTTTGGGGGTAGGGGCTCCAATGCATCCACAGCGGAACCTGGTGTTTTGCGCGGAATTGAAAGTGATCAACATTTCGGGCAACCTGTGCGCACCAAACGCTTGATCTCATTCCATTCTTCTAGGGCCAAGCTTGTCTGCCTAAAGTTGGCGCGCCATTGGAGATGAGTTGGTTCGTGACCGTTCTCCGTTTGTGGGGAGAGGTCTGAGAAGCGTGTTGTTAGCAAACACACCAAAGATCACGCCACGATCCGATACCGGACGGTCCCCATCAACTTAAGTACTAAATGCTTTGCGTCGAGAAGCTCTTTCGAGGATTGACTCGTTAGCTGGTGAGTTGTAGGATATGCGCTTTGTCTGCACCTGCTAGGTGGATACAATCATGCCGACCCGAGTAGCTGGAAACTTGGATGCAAAGTCGATGGTTGCGCACTCGAAGATATGATTATGATCTGCTGGGGAGAAGCTCACATGCCGACGCAGAAGTGCGAACGTGAGGAATGCATAGTGAGAAAGGGGCTGTTCTGTACTTTGCTGAGAGCAGGCTGTTGGTCAATCTTTGAGGGAAAAGAGGACGTTGGAATGAGTAACGTACGAAATGCAATTCTGGTCGTTCTCAACCAACGGTCATACCAGGGTGGTCTGTTCGTAGTATCGGGCAATGTGCCGTCACGCTTCTTTCTTCCCGTAAGGCTGACGGGGCATAGAGATACCCATGCATTCCTAGCAAGTGGTCGACGAAGCGTTCACATCACTGAAAGAATCAGCGACAGTAACCAGACAGGGCCTGTCTTCCAGGTCCCGTGGTAGCTTATTGTCCCCCTGAGTTCGTGTCACACCAAGAGCCACGATTTTCGTCGAGTTTCTCCATGACAGGGATCCCGAGAGATCTTGATCTGTGACTGAAAAAGGGCCACCCCGAATCGGTGGCGTTTTCTACGCCTATTCGGCTCGTTGGCACCAGAGCCACCAATCTTGGACACAGCTTCAGATGGCGTCGTGACGCCCCCTAGTGGTTGATCGGCGGCTCGAGCATCGGCCTGAAGTTGTGCGACGGGTTCTTTCTGTGTCTCCAGGCGCTCACTCCGAGGATCCCACAGAGGACAGAAGTATCATCGATTGACGAGATTGGGATCTCAACAGCATATCGATATGACCGATCCTTATGGATGGTGTAATACTCCAGGATCTCCCCATTTCCATATCGTCTCAGAGAGTAACGACGAGTCAATATTTCAGCAAATATCCGAGATTGAAGCCACCAAGGTCCGGATATGTATTTGCGATTCGACCGTGTTTCTCAGGCACGCGATCGAAGGAGTGATCGACATGAGCGTGGACGGCTTTGTCGTCAGACGCAACAGCATGTTCTTCGGCACAGGAACGTCAAGCCTCGAAGAGCTAGAGTCGATTCGTTGGTGACACATGAACTTCCCCGTGTTGTGCTCTAACGAGCATCAGCTTGACGCGGTAGCGAAGACCTGTTACGTTGGAGAAATTTGACATGTCAACATCGGGTGGGTGAGATGCAAGGCTGTTCCACGATATGTCAGACTTCACCAGCCACGGGTACAATGTGCATCCTTACATGAACAAGTCTTTCTTGTTCGGGTTCATTACATGTTCCTTACTTTTGACCTTGGACTCATTCGACCTGCCTTTCTCTCCAGATGAGCTGGCTCATCGCCCTCGATGAGCCCAGCCACGCCTTTGAGCCAGAATCGGAGTTTCTTGTCCGGGGTTTCGATCAGCCCGTCGCGAATATTGGTTCAAACCTAAGACGTATCCTGGAGACGCCGACATTGAAAGGTTTTATTGTGGAAAGATGCGCTTTCTGAGAGGATATGCTATTGTAAGGAGCTTCAATGTGGCGTCCGTGACAACTCCTGTTTCGGATTGTTGACTGTCCCACTGAATTGACCGAAGAGTTGCGATAGGTTGGCTCGATGCAGGAGAAATAGCTTGTCATCGTCCTACAATACAACATCGCCCCATTTCGACATTGATTCAACATACATGCGACGTATGAGGCGGCTGGAGATACCTTTGGCGTCGGACCCGAAGTTTGTAAGGTAGGAGTGGCCCCGGACGGCGACCACACCCGAAGAGACGTAGGAGTCGTTTAGCAGTACAAAACAAAGTCGGGACTAGAGCTCTTTATTTCAACCAAGTGAACGTTGCAGCCATACGTTCCATTGCAGCTTCCATGCAGATGCGCAATGCAGCTCTGCAATATAGACGGACTGATCAGGTCGAAAAGACTCTACAGGGTGTGAGTTACTTATGCTGCATCTCGCACGATGAGAATCTGCAAACCTGATGAAGCATTGTCGTCATACGTACAATTAAGCTGCTGG